CTCGGCAAAGTGGCAATGTTTTATTAATTGCTCAATTTTTCAACGGATTTTCTTTTCGTTAATTATATCAAACTATAACCATTTAAAATAGAAAAATAAATAAATGTACTGTATGTATCTTCTTATTCCATCAATTACGTAATATCGATTCATTTTTTATTTTTCAAACATTTTGTATTATTATTGTATGTATCTTCCCCTGTTTATTTAAGATATTACCATTTTTTTTATCTATGATATAGTTATACTTTAATTCTCCATCAAAGAGATGAATATGATTTATTATTTCCTGTAATAAAATATGAATACTTAAAAATAACCGCCGTTATATATATTAAAATGGTTTATAAAGTGCTATAACAAGTTTTCCGTTTGCGAATAAATGTAAAACGTTATTCTATTTATTAAACCAACCTTTCATTCATCAACACATTTACTGAAAACATATCTGATATGTATTCTTATAAGCTGCGCGTATAAATTTCCTAAATAAACTTATCTAATTTTGATTATATTATGTCATATAAAAAAAAAAGTAATTTTATATATCCTACGCAATCCTGATTCTAATTTAGTATTTGTGTAACCATGAATGCATAAAAATTATTGTCAAACTTTATGAATTTCCACCCGTCCGTTCTTTTGCACAAAAAAAAACTTAAAAACCAGAATTATTAATAACAAAGCAATTTGGTCATCTGTGATACTTTAAAAATCGCGTTATTATTTTTTTTTTCTTTTTGAATAATTTTTGAAGAGTAAATAAAAAAAAAAAGAAGAGAAAGAGAAAGAATAATAAGAATAATTGAATCATACATACAATATAAATGGGGAAACTTTTACATTGTAAATGTTTTTTTTTTATTAATCACATTATTTAAATGAATTTCTTTAATTTATCCAAAAAAGTTTTAATTATTTTTTTTCGTTTTTGAAAAAATTAAAAATTCGGATTTGAATATTCCAAACCTTTTCCTTTCCTAAAAAAGTATTTTTTTCTTTATCAACTTGCTCATTGTGCGGAGTAATTGTCTTCATGATTTAAAGTCTTACATAATACTATTATGGAACTCACTCTCCAGAAATACCGCATGAAAAAAAAGTCACGACATATGACGATAAAGTCTTCACACATGATCAAGGATTAAATAATTCTGGTCTCACATAATTCAAATAATACCGGTTTATTGGAATGGCCATTTCAGGAGACATGAATTCAATTGAATCACTTATCTATAGAAAATAGTGACAATTCTAGAATTTATAAAAAAAAAAAATTTACTTAATCTAGTGAATAGATTTGATAGATACAGTAGTAGGTTAAATATTAGATAACGTTTAAAAAACAAAATAATAATAAAAATATAAAGCTTTTTATGTTAAATATTTTAGGTATTTAAGAAATCTTAGATTGATTCATTTTATCCAATTATTTTTAATGCAACTCAATAATATAATTTATTTAAGAAAATTATCATTTATCGCTGGTGCGATTTGTCGCTACTATATTTACTAAAGGAATTGAATTATATAGAAGGGCTACACCGCACTTGACTACATTTTTACTTATAACGCGTATAAAAATGTGCATAGTCGTATAACATTGTAACTTTATTTTTATTTATCTTTATTTAGAGTTATCGATTTGATCAATTATATGTAGAGATATAGAGTAAAAGAGGTAAAAATACATTGACTAAATACACTAATAAAAACCGCTCATCCCATACAGGACTCCTCTTTGTCTAAAAGAAGCTTTCCATAGCAGATAGAGAAACTAGTACGACGCTATGTCTGTCATCTGGGAAGGAGAGGAATTAAAAATTAACAAAATGCGAAAAAAAAGAAAAATAAAAGAAGAATTTAAAGAAAAATCAAAAAAGTGGAATCAGGAGGATTACGGAAATCATTATGCGGATTAGAATAACACCAATTATTGGAATATGTTCTACGGCTCGGATAGCTATATGAATCTTCTGATAACAAGGTCTTCCACTGGTCTTTTACGTTCGAAGTTTTTAAAAAGAATTTTTGGAGATACCATTGTTGAATTTTCACTGTCTAAAGGAGGTATTTCGACTCTTCCAACTTCGTTGAATAAATATCCATATGTGAATTATAAGTAAAATAAGTAAAAAGTTTATTAATGTTTTTTGCGAGTTAAAGTGTGCTATAAAAATAGCGACTAATTCTTCCGATATAAAATTGAGAAGGAAAACCATTAAGGGGCGGTCATCAGTAATAGTGTTCAAATCGTTTCGTCCATTAAAAAAGCTGAAATAGAGATACAGTATCGTTGACTGATGTTATTAATTTGTCTCTATGTTTATTGAAGATAGGTATCAGAAGATTTAGTACGTTGCGACATTTCCATAGATGTTCGTTGGATTCAACTCTAAATTACACATAGAACATAAGTTGAGGCCTTTCAAAAGGTCGGGGAAATTTCGATTAAGTATGTCTAATGTTGGAAAAGAAAGAATCGAAGCTTTAATGCGCCAACTATTAATTTTGCTCGGTAGGGTTGTAGTTAATCTATGCTTGTGATCATTTCCAATTAATCGGGTTGTGAAGACAATTTCGTTAGATGATGTCTAGATTTTTATGGTTACAAGATGAACTTGGAAATACTCGTTGTCAACAACCATTTTTAATGTTCTGCGAATGATACGATCAATTGTAATGTTGTGATCTCATTGTATAGTGCGGAGTTGCTTTGGTAAAGCCCAACTTGTTGATGTTGATGAATACTGTTTTTGTTAAACCTTCTCTTGCAAATATATAAGTCTGCTTGTTCGTTGAATAAATTACCGTAATGAGATTTTACTTTAACTAGAAGCCAATTATTTGATTCATTGCCATGGCAAACCATTACTCAATTTTGTAAGCGTCTAGGGGTTGGTTGGCTATTTTTGGGAATATTGTAAATATTGCTATCGTTTCCGCTCTCGCGGAACTAGTCCACCCACTATCAGCTATGCGTAAGGTTGATATTAGAAGATTCGGTAAGCAACCAGATTTAGTATTTATCGCCGCTGATTTTCAAAAAGCTTACAGTAACATTATGATATATTTCTTCATACATAAATATTTCTGATGTGATGTAATTGCGATGTCCATATCCCATTTTTGTTATATTGAATTCATTTTTTATAAGCGTAAAATTCTAGATTATCTACAAATTGTAATTGAAGTGAATAAAAGAAAAAATCAGTACGTAAAGAAATCGGTAAAATAAGTCTAATTAACAACATATTATAAAATTCACAAAGTGATTTTAAGGAAACTCTATTATTATTAGTGATTGAAGAAGGAATATTATAAGAATTAGTTCTAACTAAATAATCATTGTATGCTAAAGTTTTGTAAGTAATATGTAGTTTGCTGAGGGAACGAAAATGTTTTAAAGAAGTGAATATTGGACGATCTTTTTTTTTTAGTAAATCGTTAAATTTTATCTGTAAAAGATGCAGAACTTATACAAAGAAAAAATTATGAAACTGCCATTCGTGAACATCAAATAGATGCCACTCCTGTTATACAAAAACTTCTGTTATACTTCCTAACTACAAACAAAGTTACCGACCCTCACCTTTAGTCAGTTATTGTACCAAAACTAACAGTTAATCTCCTTTATACTGTTGAACCAAAAAATAAATTAACTGCTCCAAAAATAAAAAAATTTGTAATGATGGCCATGTTGCTATTTAGTTTGATTTCACGTACATTTGTTGTAACGAAATAAAATCTTACTACTGACTATCTACGATGTTAGCAAAAAACCACATACACGAAGACTATTCTAAAATTTAGTTGAAAACACACCCGATAACACTAATTCTTTCCGTTGATAACCTTAAATTTCCGCGGTCTTTCCTTCAATTCTTCCTTGTTCACCCTCTTCGTTTTATCTTCTTTCGCAAGTCGATTCGCCATCTTCTGATTATTGGCGTCAAATTCTTCAATCTCTTACTAAATTCTTTATTAAAAAATTATTTAATAGATGGTAAATTATTTATTTAATTCTATTATTACTCTTTTGTTGAAATTTTGTTGGAATGAGGAATGAAAGCCGGTATGAGTTCTTTCTTAACTTCCACTTCCTCTACTACTAACTATGTGGCCAACATATCATAAGCATTTCGATCGTACGACTAACGGCTCACTTCTCAAAGATCGTCACTCTACATTCATTAATATATTCAATCACGTCTTCCTCTGTCAGGAAATCCCTTGGTTTTTTTGTGGAATTTAGCGATGGGTCGATTTGTCTATACCTCCGCGTCCGATTCGTCATCCTCTATTTTGCTCAACATATCGTCATTCTCCTCGAGGTCACGTGATTGTTGATCGTCCCGAAAGTCAATTACGACTTCTTCCGGTTCGACCGAAGGATGTACAGTATCTTCTTCCCTTAATTTCTCCTCCTTTCTAAGAGTCCGTCTAGGGCCCATTCATGACGTCCTTGGATCTTGTCTGAGTCCACCAATCCGAACGATAAATTTCTTTATTGTTTCTCGAAAAGATGCCTCTTTCAGGACCCAGAAATATATATACAGGGGTAGGGTACACAGATGCGTCGCTATCATATTGATTTGCGTACAATTTTAGAATTTTTCATCTATAGTTAGGTCATCAAGATTGCGTATTTTTTATCAAAATTTTTATATGTAAAAAATTAGTTTGCGTATTTTTAGCCTAAATTTGGGTTAATCTTATATAAATAATATATTTACTGTATGTACTTATTTAATTAACCGCATTGTAATATTTAGTATTAATTGAAAGAAATTTCTAAGGGTTAAAAAGTGAAATTTTAGAAAAATATTATTAAAAAAATGGTAAATTCTATTTTTTCACATTAGTACTTGGTTTTATAAATAATATAGAAGCCATGATAAAATAATTAATAACTTAATGTCTGAAATTTTATTTGCGTATTTTTGCAGGATTTTCAATATCAGGTGTCAATTATGCGTACTACTCATATAAAAAGTCTCTGCGTACAGCTCATAGTAAAAAAATTTTTCGCCACCTGACCCCTATATATATATTTCTGGGTCCTCCTCTTTCCATTTGTTAACGTTCGAAAAGATCATTTTGTTGCTTCTCCTTATTGTGCGGCTGCCGTAAGTGTGTTTTCCAGATCCTTTTGCGACTTGTAGTAAGTCAAAATTTTACAAGACCTGATTTTTATCACTTTCGAAAACGCAATTTTCGGGTATGCGGCTATAAGTCTTTTTAGGTATTTCGATTGGTCCTCCCTTCATTGGACGATCTAACACTAACTGACTAACGATACAGGAGACGTGTACTATCTCCTTTATAGTATGAGTCGCCCTATAAAAACACATTATCATGAATTATACATAATATAGCATAATTTGACCATATAATCATTATTTGTTTGTAAATTAAAAGGAATTATAAAATTGTCTTTTTTAAGATCCAAATGTTCATAAATTGAAAAATTATATTTTCTAAGTTCCATAAAATGTACATTATTATTGTAACCATAAAAATTATCAATAATTGTATATAAAAAATATTCATAAATTAACACTTTATACATAGAATGACCTTCATTACCTTCATTAGCAAATATTTTTTAAAATTTTCATTCTTAATTTTTCTCTAATAATTCACCTTACTGAAGCATAGTCCTTTTTGTTACTACAGCGATAGCTTTCCCCTTATAGGTGCAGAACCTCTACCATATAATATAGGGACTGCTTTTCAGGTGATTAATAAAAAAAAAAAGAAGTGAAGAGATCGTACAAATCATGTGATGCGTGGCTAATAAAAATTTGAGGTCATATTTACGTCAGACAAAATTGATTTGTTTTTTTATTTATTATAAACATATGATAGCTTCGCTCCCCTGAGAAAGAGTTATCTTTATATAGATGTAAACAAGCCATTATATGTAAGTTGCTACTTGCTATTGTCAAGTTTTATTATAAATGTTTAGTTTAAGTAATTTAAGTCAAAAGAAGTACGCGTATTATTATCTATTGTATAATTCACTGCTTACCTTTTTACCTTTTATGTAAGGTAAAGTGTAAATTTTAATATGATTTTTTTCAGTTCAGCAAGATTAGAATGAGACTTCTTCTTTTGGACTTATATTATATTCTTCATGTTTTGTTAGACTAGTTATTTTTCCTTTTTATCTTTACTGACTTTAATGGCAAGTCTGTGTTCTCTTTTATTTTTAGGTTTGACGTTGGAGAATTTGTACTTCAGAGACTTTAAATTTGGACTTGTACTTTTTTCTTAGGTTTGTCGAGATGGGAGTTTTTTTACTTGAAAATTTTCTTTATATCTTAGGTTTGATGACTTTGACGTCAATTTTTATTTTTAGGTTCAACGTCAGGGGGGTTTTTGGGAGAGTTTCTCTTTTTTTACTTTGGGTTCAATGTAAGGTTCTTCTTTATCTTTAGGTTTGACAATAGGGCTTTTTTAGACTCATTTTTTTTTCTTTTTATCCTTAGGCTTAGACTTGGTTTTTTTATGGCAGGTAGTAAGTGAGTAACGGAAATTGGCTAAGTAAGTAATGTTACTATTTTAGGTCAATTTACGTTACTCCCCTCGGAATGCAAAGTCAATTATATTTACTTTACATTACTCCCCTTATATAAGGTACAGAACGTAAGGTAAATTTAAATTTATTTTTACCTCAAATTATTCGCAGAGATTTGTTCTTTTTCATTAACAACAGAACAAACTGTGTCATCAACTGTAATATCAGAGTCATAAACACTAATAGTATCCATTTACAATCTATATTTAAATAATGATAAAATAGCAAAAATCAAATATTATTATCAAATAATAATATAAGGGGATTGCTAAACGTCGCTCATCGCCTGGGTTTTTTTTCAAATATGTCACATGATGTACAATATATAGAGTAAATTATTAATCTGATTTTTTTAACTTAGTTATTTTTTGATCGGCTAAACTTAAAATTTTATTGTGAACTAAGATATTTTAAAAAAAATTTTTGCAAGCATATTTAATTCAAAATAATCTTATTTAATGAAATTTTATTTGCAAATATTAAAATTTAAGTCACACATTTACGATTTTAAAGAAAAGATCCCCGTATTTATTTTTAATGAAGTGATACAAATAAAAGAAACAATAACAATAAATAAAAAAGATAAGTAAATTACATTGATCAAGGAGAAAGATGTTAATAAAAATGAAATAACAATGGAGTAATGGAAAGTAATAGAAGATAAAAGGGAGTAAAAAAGAGCAATGAAAAGTGATAGGAAATAAAAAGGAGAACTAGGACATGATGGGAGATGAAAAGGAGTGATAGGAGATGAAAAGAAGTGATGGGAGATGCAAAGGAGTGATGGGAGACGAAAAGGAGAGATGGGAGACGAAAAGAAGTGATGGGAGACGAAGAGGAATGATGGGAGACGAAAAGAAGTGACGAGAGAAAAAAAGAAATGATGAGATACAAAAGGAAATGATGGAGACGGAAAGGAGTGATAAGAGACAAAAAGAAGTGATGGGTATTGGGCGTATAGACGGAAAATCGGAGGCTTAGCGATGGGTGGCTGGGTGGCTAAGATCAAGGAGGCTTAATAAACAGACAGAATCGTCTGATCGGCGAATTTGGCCGAGAGGAAAAGTTGGACGGATGCTAAATTTGTCCGATAAGCAAATCCGTACCAGATTTCAGACGATATATATACAGCCGATGGTAAAGGTTTTAGGAAGAGAGTGAAAAAGTCCTTAGGTTTTATTTTCATAAGATAGATATACGAATATTACAGAGCGCCGATAAAGGCAGTAATATCGTATTTTATTTAAGTGTTAATAAACCCGCCTGTTTGTTTCCGATTTATTACAATTCATTTATTTCTTTAAAATGTTCATTATCTTATATTGCCTTTGGTTACATGTCGTTTTATTGCTTATACACAATTTATGTCCGATTATAAACAGGTTAATATACACGTTTTAATTACTTTATTATTCATTTATCAATTGTCCATTATTTGCGCATACACTAACCGATTTTCTTTAACACCTAACATTTAACGTCATATTACCTTGCGATTCCTTATTTATTTTTCTGTTACTACCTAACCAAACGCTAAAATCGGTGGTAACATTATGCAAAATTTTTTGTCATGGTATATTGATATATCCATTTGTTGATTGATCACCTGTTCATGAAAGGAGAAAATATTCGACCCGACCTAAACAAAAAAAGCGAGACTCGTAAGTGATCGGGTCACATATTTTTATAACATTACTCTGACTCAACCCGAGCATAGTTAACTCGTATAATCCGGGTTATTCAAATTTTTTGTAATATCAGTAAAATTGTTAAGTAGATCCACCAACTTTAAATTCGAATTTTAGCAATTTTACTAACTAACTTTAAAATTTTACATGATAAGGTTAACAATTGAATACAAATATTACTAATCAAGCTAATATCAATATTTAATAAAGAAATTAATTTGATTATTAGCTCTGTTCTAGTTTCTATCTACTATTTTTACTAATAACCACTACTGGGTTAATTCAGCCGATATTATAATTTGACCAGAGTTAAAAACATCCGGTCAATCCGGGTCAAAACCCGGGTCAAGGAAAGACCCGTCGGGTCGGGCCATGCAGGTCACGGGTCATTTAAAATTATCCGACCCGATCTATAAGTCGAGTTGGGTCAAATTAACCCGGTCATCATTGTACAACTTCCATAGTTTTGAAACGAATTTTTTCTATGGTATAAATTACACATAATTATCTAATACTTTAGGGAGACATAGAGACATATCAAATTGTCGAGTGTAGTATGCTATTAATATTATTAAAAATGTTAGTTTACAGATCTTATTTCTCAAAAATTATAAAAGTATAAAATAAAATATAACGTACTAGTGTCATTCAGTTGATTGAGTTTCTTGGAATATTCAAGTCGCTTATTGGCGAGAATCAGAGGATGTGAATTTATAAATTTTGATAATACTTTCCATCTGTCCTCCCGTTCCTGGCTAAATTCTTCTTTAGTTTTTAGTTTAGGGAGACATAGGGACATATCAAATTGCCGAGTGTATGCTATTAATAGTTAAATTGTTAGTTTACAGACATTATTTCCAAACAATTATAAAAGTACAAAATAAAATACAACGTACTAGTGTCATTTTTATCAAGAAGTTGATTGAGTTGCTTGGAGTATTCAAGTCGTTTACTGGTGAGAAAATTCTGTGAATGTTTCAGAGGATGTGGATTTATAGTTAATTCTGATAATCGTGCTTTCCATCTGTCCTCCCGTTCCTGGCTAAATTCTTTTTCAATTTCTAGTTTTATTGCAATCTGTTTATCATTGAGTTCAAGTTTACTTAAAATTGTATCCCAGTCTCCAATTTGCCTATACAATTCTTGAGCCGTTGGACGTTTGGTAGGAATAGGATCCCAACAGCGTTCTATCAAGGCAGCATATGGCTCAGGTGTATATTCTGGAATTGGTGGACGTTCTCCCTTGCAAATTTTCAGAGCTAAGTGAATATCATAATCCTTATCAGAAAAAGGTACGTTGCCACAGATTATTTCTAACATCACAAATCCAAACCCATAAACATCTGATGCTTTGGTAAACTCTATACCACGTAAAACTTCCGGTGCTATAAATGGCAAGACACCATATATTGTCTTAACTATAGAACTTTGATCTGCAGGACGACAAAGACCAAAATCTGAAATTACTGGGCCAAGATAGTTACCATAATTTTCAAGCAAAATGTTACTAGTTTGGAAATCTCCATGACAATAATTTTCTCTATGAATTGTACTTAATCCATAGCTGATATTATGAAGGATTTTAATAATCAGCCTCCAATTCAGAATGTGATCTTTTTTAATAGATTCCCTCAAATTACCTAAATTTTGGTATTTCATGACAATAGCATATTTATTATCGTGAGGATCACAAGTTACTCCATAAATTACATTACAATATGCTGCAAAATTTAGTGACAAATTATTCTTGATCTGTAATATAATAATATAAATATTAGATTGTGTGATCTTTTATTTACATATTAGTTATATAAATTGTTTACCTCATCCAAAAACTCGCTCACAGTCGCATTTCGGAATTTTTTTATTGCGACTTCCTTGTTGTTATCACGATTCCATCTGGATTTTTTGATTTCCCAAGGGTGAGCACGACTAGTAGTATTAATTGGACCATCTTTCCAAATGGCTTTATATACACTTCCAAATCCACCGTGAGCAACAAATTCAACATTTTCAAGATTTGAATATTCAATCCATTCAATTAATTCATATTGAAAAGTTGCGTTAAGTTGAGAATTTTGAATCAATTTATTGATACTCAAATCACCACTGGTCCATTGAGCAAAGTTATTATGAAAATGTGCCGAGTTACATGGTTTACAATAATAAAAATTTTCGTTGGTGTAATTTTGGCCACATTCCGGACATTTTATATTTGTTTTAATATTATATTGCATTTTAAATTATTGAATTAAAGTTATCGTGGTTATTAGTATACGAATTAATAAGAAAATTATAATTTTTACTTTTTGAAACTTGTTTATATAATGAGCAAAATTAAAATTGCGAAAACAAATATCGTTGATATAAACAATAATAATAAAAAATTATTTTTCGGGTTTTTTTAATTATTTTTTGTGGAGATATATATTTTTTTCGTTACTAATTTTGACGTAAGATCTGCGATTTCCGAGCATGTGATTGACAGTGGAGAGCACGGATATTTTCATTTATTTCACATATAGGAGCGCATATGCATGGCTGCACAAATTTTTATGGGTAATGTGTCAACACTAGCCTCGCCATTTTTATATGTATAGTGCATATACACACATATAGTCTTATGTTTGTCTTATGCTTTATGCTTTCAACAATTTTTCACGGATTATATTAAGAAAAAGTCGGTACATGTAATAAAAAATCCAATCTTTTCTCAGAAAAAATTTTCTTTCATTAAAATGTTCCTTGACAATCATAGCATTAGCCTTTTTTAAAACATATAATAATACCATTTAGTTATCATGTTCATTAGAACATTTTGGGAAAAATAAAAATCACTTTTTTAACGACTATCAAATTTATCATGTTAGTAAAATTTGATTAATAATTAATCTCCATTGGTCATATCTAGTTAATCTGGGTGGGTAACACTAGTATAAATTTATTTTGCAATCTTACATAAATAAAATGATTACGCAATAATCCTTTAAAAAAAAAACATAATAATTAATTAGTAATAAATATATATAAATTTCTTGATGAAATATATTTAAAAAAAATACAATATTATAGTTTTATTATATTATTTATTCTTAAATATAAAACTTTTATTTTATTTAATTACGGTGTTTTGTATCGTTATAAAAAAATTTTCATTTTTTTTAACGGTCACAAAAAATTTTCTTTGTGATAATTTAATAATTACAAAAAAGGATTAGCATTTTGCATAAAAGTAAATAATTTTCGTAGTTGTAAATTCATTATCGTTATATGTTTCATGAATCATAAATGAGTCATCGTAAGCATATGAACATCAGTCATAAGAAGATGTTTTTTTTTGAGATCCGTCGAGATAAAAGACTTTTTAATAGCTGATAGAATCCGTTGAGATGTTTGAGATCAAATATTTTGGAAAAGAGGCGCGGTTAAATTACTTTCAGATTCATCCTTATAGAAAATTTTTTAGAAAATTTATCACATGTTTTTTCTTTGAATAAAAACTAAAACAATGATCATTTATCGGAGTTTTCTCCCGGAGAATTTTTATAGGATATTCTTAAAATATATTTTAGATCTCATCAAAGATTTATAAATTTGAATAATAATTTTTTTTTTTTTCACATAAGGACTTTATTGTGTTTTAAGTTAAAATTAGAACATCACATTAATGTAACCTTTTTTGCTTTTATTGATTGAACTAACACTATAAACTAGTACCTAATAATAACTAATGAGATAACTTATATAGAGCTACTATCCCTCACTATAAATACATATATAAATTTAGCAATTACTCTTACGTCACCTTTAATTACTACTACATTCCAAAAATTGTATCTCGTAATCTATCTCTTTCTTACATTAGTTCTGAGGCTCACAAGATGCGAACGTGGCCCGAGTTAACCCTGTAAAAAATCTGATCCGTGTGTTATATCTTTACATGGTTTTTCCGTAAATGTATCATTTTCATGGAATTAATAACCTTAAATCATGGAAATTTTCATCTCGCTAACACGGATATCCATGAATGTATCATCTCACGGAATTTTACGGAAGACACGGAGAAATAATGGAAATATTCGGATAAAAATTTTTTATAGGGTAAGAAAAGTGTTGGTACAGAGTTAGGTTAAATTTCACAGCTAGCAGGGTATTTAAAAATTATAACATATTCTGAAACTTTTCGTAAAACTATTTCCTAGTTGGGTGTGATAAAGAACATTGGTTTAATGTTGTACTAGGCAACTCCCATTGTATTAAATCAGCAGCTATTGCAGGGGCCTAGACACAGACTAATTTTTACTTGATCGGCAATGTTGTCGTTTGATGAGTCATTTAGATCACGTGCCGTCCCTTTTTTTGCGCTTAATGCCAGCTAAGATCCTCATAATTCTGGTCAAAATCTGTCCAGCAGAGGTGCTTACTTTCGGGGTGCTTACTATCCGCACGATATTAACGTACGTACGTAACTCCCTCTGTTTTTTAAAAAATATAAATTTTAACAACATATATGTTTTAAATGCCCCTTTAAATTTAAATTACGTTTTTCTGAAATTTCCCAAATTTTTATTATGTTTGGTTTCGTTTAGTTTGTTTAATAAAATTAAAAATTCTCAAACCTCTCAGAAAATCCGGACGTTAAACAAACAATAAGTTGGAACAGCCAAATTATTAAATGATTCCTAGAAAACGTGCTAAGTCGATTACTTATAATAATCGTTCTAATAAACCTAATTTACCTCATCAAAGTTTTTATTTTTTTTTCTTATTAAAAAATCGGTTTATTTATTTATTTATTTATCAATTTTTTGCAAATTTTTCTTTTTTTAAAAATCATTTTTGGAAATTTATATTTTACATTCTAACGATTAATATGTAAATGTGTAATACAAAAAGTATATTTTCACTAATAAATGACATACCCCTGGTTTTTCATTATGATGCAATCTGGCATTCTTTTCTTAAATTATTTAGACCCGATTCGGCATAGACCGGTCAAACTTTTCTTTGTACGTCAAAATAGTTATACTATCATATAATCAAAGAAAATTTTTTTTTCCTTTTTCATTATCAAATATATCAAATATATCGTAATATTTGTAATTAAAATTCGATAATAAAATCTCTTAATCACATTGAACTTATCGTTATATAGCTTCGTTCGGAAAAAATGGTAGCCGAATTTATATGCCGGTTCTTTAAATTAAGATTAGGATAAGGGTTAGGATTAAGGTTAAGATTAGAGTTAGGATTAAGGTTAAGATTAGAGTTAGGATTAAGGTTAAGATTAGGGTTAGTATTAGGGTTAAGGGATTAGGATTATAAATTTTGTCACATAGTATCACATCTGATGTACGGTTGTGGTTACTATATTAGTAATTGTTTATTTCAAGGTTCTTACAAATATAAAAATATATTATCATATAGCACAAGAAATATTTTATAAGGTTATAAGTGAATTAACATATTGATTTCATTGTAAAATGAGCAACAATCAATTTAAGACCATTTTATTTATTTAGACAAGTACAGAGGTTGTAAAATTTATAGATATATCTTCTAACGCCTAGAAGAAAAACTGTCGATTCTATATATTAAACCCTAATCCCCTAACAGAATTATCTTGCCTGTCATTTTTGTCTAAAGGTACGGGACAAAATTGGTCAAGTTGCCCTTCATTGAATAACCCATATTTTTCTTTGCTTCACGCTACACATAAATAATGACAGATGTGAAATGTAAACTTTTAAAAAACATTTTAATTTTAACATAAAGTAAAAAATAAAAAAGCAACAAACATTCCACGTGCTAAAAGCACTACATGGAGTGAAAAGAATTCTATCTACTAGTACTACACTAACGCTAACTGCTGTTGCGACATAGCCAAAATTTCTGCCAAAACCTCCCGTTTGCTACTATCATTACGTGCCTTTCCTTTTCTATGCTTTTTGTTATTATCATGTTTCTTGATACTCAGCTAGGGATGTTAACGGTCCGTTCCAGACCGCCAGGACCGCAGTCCGGTCTTAAGGACTGATTTGGACTGATATACTAGGACTGGACCGATCGGTTTCAATAGGACCGATGATCCTATAACAATTTTTGGTCCTTGGATAATTCAGGCCAAATTTTATTGTCGGCCCGCTTTTGTGTATGACATAAATTAATAGACCGATTTATAGGACCAAAATTATAGGAACGTTATAGGATCAGTCTGGTCCGCAGTCCGTGTCAGCTTTAATATAAAATAGAGTCTTATAGTTAATATAAAGAAAAAAAAAAAAGATTTCTCAAAAATACTAAAAATATCATAAGAAAATTAATAATTCGATGAATTTTAATTTGGGTAGGAAAATCACTATATGCGTTCATAAATACCGGTTATTTTTAGATTTAACATGTCAAATTACTAGTTAATTTTTTATAAATTTCAAAAACTTTTCTGACATATTTCATTCAAAGGTTTTATTCTGCAGTCAACTCTTAATATAACGAAGTGGGCGACGGGCTGATCCCAGGGCATCAGGCCTTCGTTATAGTAGGACTATTCGTAATTTTGGTATATTATGGTATATTGTATAATAATT